CCCGGGCCCGCGTCGCCGCTGTTATTGCTCAGCTTCCCCCGGACGTCAGCGCGGTCGCCACCGCTCCCCCCGCCGTGGCCGCGGGGCCCGCCCCCGGTTGCCGGGGCGATGCGCACGCCGGGCCCGCCCCGCGCGGGGCAATGGCGGCCGCGCCGCCGCTGCCGGCCCTCCCGCTCCTTCTCGCCCGAGGGCGGCCCCGGCGGGGACTTCCTCCCGCCCCTGAGGCGGGATGGGAGGAGGGGGCAGCCCCAGCCCGCGATGCTTGGGATTGGGGCTGCCCCCGGTGCTGACGGGGCTGCGCAGCGCTCGTCCTCTCGGGGCAGCGCGGGCCTGCTTGGGAGAAGGTGCTGAGGCCTTTGGAAGTCGGCGGCTGTGGGTCAGTCAGCAGAGGAAAACCCTAAATCCTGCCCACGATCGAGGGCTCAGTGCGGGGGAGAGCGGCCGTTCCCAGCCTGAACGGCGCGGACGCGCCGTGTCTCGATGGCATCAACCCACACTGAGTGGAGCAGCTGAGGGCATCGGGGTTTGACAAAATCGTGCCATACGGGGCTGATCCCAACCTGCTCCTGCAGAACAGCAGCCGGTGCTCTGGGTGCCGGTCTGTCCTCGGGGGAAAAGGAGCTTGTTCAGTGACCATTCCCGGTTTGTGGGGTACCCGCTTACAGGCTGCAGGGAGCAGCTGAGGACTGTTGAGAAGGAGTTGTCCTCTAGAGAGGGGACAACGCAAGGAAGGCAGGGTTTGAGCAGCAGTGAGACTTCCCTCATGAGCAGGAGCTGCCTGCAAACAGCGCAAGTGTTTCAGTCTGTCACCACCTACTTTGACAGACTGGTAGCTGGTATTTCCAGATGGAGGTGTGCCACCAAGGCAATGCAAAGTTTCAGGAAGCTTATGAACATCCTCATGTACGTTGCATCCTCCAGCTTAATTGGGGCAGAGAAAAAGAAGTCGTATGGGGGTTTTTTTGTCATTTTTTTTAACCTCCGAAATACTAGGTAGGAGTGATTTTGTTCTCCTTTAAAAAAAATACTTATTTTATGAAAAGCAAATAATACACATCTATGTATTATTTTGGATGATTATAGCAGACCATTATTTGAATCACATAACTCCACTTTCCAAATTGCGTTCATCACCATGCTTGATACTTTCCTCTCATTGCATAGGAGGTCTTTTGACTTGACTATTTACTTTCATCTAGACTCCAGAGAAGATCCATGACGGTAGAATGATGTTATTGAGTGTTAACAACATCACTAACAGGGAATGGAGAGCATTCTAGAATACTGCTTGCAGCATGAAATCACTGGAATGACTGACCTGTTCTGAGAACTGTAAACTGTCTCCTTTTGAAGCTTGAAGGGCTTTGTTGAGCTTTATAGTCAAAGGGACTTGTTTTATCTTAAAACCTTGTATGTTCTAGTATGACTAGCAAGCTAAGTAGAGGTATTCCTCAAATATGTTTTTAACTGCAGCATCGTAATAAAATCATTTGGTGATCCCACTTGTGCTCCTGTTGGGAATTTCATACAGCTATCTGGTGATGCATATAACAGGCAATGTATTTCTGGATTCAAACCGAGTATCACTAAGCTCCAGACCTGCAGATCCTGCCCAGAAGACTCTACTTCTCATCAAAGTTCCCGTGTAGTCTATGTCATTAAATTCTGCGATGATAAAAAGGGGTCTTTCCTCAGGAAAAGAGCAATTTATTGCTCTTCAAACAGAAATCTTAGGTGGAAGTCTCAGGCTCTTCTGCAGCTCTGCTGAACTCTTGCTTTCAATTACGAGGTAGGAGACTAGACACTGAAATAAGTACAACAGGAATACAACAGGTATTTTGTTCACAGGTAATACTTGGATATATCCATGGAAAGTGATGACGATAAGCAGTGCATTTTAAGTACCCAACCTAAAAATCCATTCTGTCTTTTGGTCCCCTAAGATATATGGGACTATATTCAGAAGTAATGAATATAGGACAGGTACTCCACAAGAAAACGAGTTTTGCAAGTATCTGAATCCAGTGTTTCAGATTGTCAGATTGTGTAAAAACAGTGTAGGGCAATAACTGGAATATGTTAATGTAACATTTGATCTGAGATACTAGAAGCACTCAGGAAAGACTCAAAAGAAAACAACCAAATCTAGTAGATCTTAAGGAATTTATTTTGAATACAAGTGTTGCAGGCTTATGCCATATCAAAGAGTTTCAAGAGGAACTAGATTTGTAATTTTTTTCTTCATTTCTTTTTCTATTCTGCTGTTTTGTTCTTTGGCATCAAGCTCTGTCTCAATTGTTTTTCTATGTACCATAATGTGTTGCACTTCTCAGTGCAACACAAAAACAATAACATTTTTTAAAAGTAACTAGAGATAGATGTTTTGCCAATTACTTTGCTTTCTCTCAGGTATCATATGGCCATGCTAATGTAGTCCAACATAGAATACAGATTCCTTCTCTTTGTACGTTACCTGAAGAACACAGTAATGGAAGTGTCTCTTGAAAGAGGCACATTAAGAATTACAAAAACTGTGACAACTGCAGAAAGAGAGTAAGTTTGAGGTGAAATTGAACCTGCTTTTTATTTCACTAGTGAAAGCTAGTATGAGCAGATCAGACAGAGTGGATGCTCGGAACTACAGGTGCTACAGCCACATCAGTGAGTGACAGTTTGTTGACCCGACTTTGTTTCAAATACAGAAAACAACAGAGACAGCGCAGCAAGCCACCAGAGGCCTCTACCCTGGTGCAGGTGGGATCTCCCTGCTCTGCTTTGAGTTAGCTTCTCTGTCTGTAGTGCTCTTTCTTCCTTTTGGGCTGTTAGTGTTGGCTGTGGTAGAGTCAGAGCTGTACCCTGTTTCATGCTGTTTTCCTGGACCTAATGGAAGCTGTTGTGCTGCTTCTGTGGCTTCCTCTATGCTGGACACCCTACAGCAGCAAGCCCAAGGTCCCATGAGAAGGCAGAGCTGTCCTTAGCAGTTGTGTCTGTCTCCAGGGAGCTTTCATCTTCAAAGCCTGAATACTTTATTTCCATGAGCTATGAGCCTCTTGTCCTTGGACAGGAATGCGGGAGTAAATGTGTTCTGCTTATATCAATAATAAGCTTAGATGGCACAGGATGGCAGTTTGTCTTCTGCTTTGCTTCAGCTGAGCACTGGGACCTACATTTTTCCATCGGTTGCTTCCTCACTTTTACCTCCTTAGTTTCTTTTGGTCCAACAGGGCATGTTGTTGATCCTTATGGTCCTTTCACCAAAGCTGCTGCCACAGCACCTGCAGCTTCCACTGATGTGTCAGAAGATGGTACAGCTGCAGGTAGGATGGTGTTCGTGTAGCTTTTACTAGAACTGCTCCTGCCTCACAAGAATCCACTGCACCAACAACATGGCTAGCATTGCTGGTTTTCTTTTTAATGATGCTCTCTGAATTCAAGGTGTTTTTTTGTTTGGTTGGTTTTTTTTGTTGTTGTTTGTGGTTTTTTGTTTTTGTTTTGTTTTTGTTTTGTGGTTTTTTTTGTTTGTTTGGGGTTTTTTTAACTTCTCTTCCCTCCTACAACTTTACTAAGTTGCTTCCTGACAGATCCAGAATAAAGGAATAAATCCCTCTCCCCTTTTTTTCCAAAACCAAACATCAATGCCATTCAAACTATTTGGAAAACTAATTTCTCTGCAGGATCCTTCCCTCTCTCTCTCTTTTTTCTTTTTTTTTTTTTTAATCATTGTTGTTCTTTAAAGTAAAAAAGTGTTTCCTGTAGAACATACCTCTAGCTTTCTCTCCTGAGGCACATGTGACTTAAAAGTTACCAGCAGCTTTGCCACAGCCTTACAAAGTCTGAAGTACACTTTTCAGTGACGTTTGGAAGGTCTGTAAGCAGGTGGAGAAATGTCAGATTCACTCTAGAAAGAGTGCATCAGCTTCAGATAACTATGATATCCTTTAGCAGGACAGTAATACTCATTTGTCACAATTTCAAGGCAGAGGAACCATGACTGTGAACTTTATCCCACGCACTGGTATAGTGCTCCCTGTGAACTAGATAAACGTTACTTCTTGCAGAATGGAAGTTTGAGACTCTGAGACACTGGATTCCTCTCCAGAGCTTCAAGAAATGCTTTGAACAAACCTGATTTAAAGGTGCAAGGTTTCAATGGCAATAGGAAGTTTTAAGAGTGGCAACAATTTTTATGCAAAAGGTAGTTATTGCTCCTGTAACTGGAGGCACTTTTTACCTCTAGAAGTGGATTTAGGTGCATTTTTTGTTCCCTTGCTGCAATGAGAAGTGGTCTTTCAACACCATATTGTCTGTCAATATGGACAATATAAATGGCATGACTATGGTAGGTAGCTGATAAAAACAAAATGTTGGCTTTTATCTCATATTAAAAATAAGCTAGAAATCAGGGCAAGTCTTCATGTGACAAAAGGAATTTACATGAGTGGGTGTGCCATGGCAATGTGAGTTCTTCAACCAAAGGTGGGAGTGTTATCTATCATCCATGCTGTTCAGGTGCAATTTCTCAATGAGAACATCAAAACTGACCCAACTTCTGTATGACTGGTGATTTTTATGCTCTACGGAACATTGTAACATACTTTAAGCTAATAAATAGGATAAGACCGTTGACTTAGAGGAACCTCAGAAAAAAAATTCAAAGCCTCAAGTGCCACACTTGGACAGAATAGCAGGTTAGGAAGAAAAAGCAATGAGAGAAAAAAGAACAACAGCATCCTTGCCGAGGAAGAGCAAGGTGCTCAAAGAAGCTGGTGTGGGAACAGCTTTTGATTCTGGAGAGAAGATAAAATATTGAGACATTAAACATCAGCTCCTAAGTAGGTGCGTTTACCAAGCAGAACACAGGTAATTTGTTCCATTGGATAATAATAGCAAAATCAATTGTAAGTAACAAGAACAGAACCCTTTTCTAGCTACATCTTATTTTTTACTTGTTAATAACAGTTTCTGCTTCTGGTGTCAGAATTTCTTGCTGGAGCAAGCAGAGAACTTTGGTCTTTATGCTTTCTTATTGTTAACCGTGAACTCAGCTGAGGCTGACAAATAAGCTGTAAACTTCTGCAGTAGTAATGATTCCAGGTGAAGTGGTGGACTCTGTGTCTGAACTAACATTAATTTGGAATGTCAGCCCCTGAGAGGTTTTCTCTGCCAAGCAGTGAAGTTTAGTTAGAGGTCTACAATCCCCAGGAAATTTCTCTTTGCAGGTTTACTCTTTACTTTTCTAAGAAGGAGGAAGAAGTAGAGGCAAAAAAAATACTAGTTACCTTCTACGTGATCACAAGAAAAGTAGAGCCACTGAATTACCAAAGTAACAAGCGACAGCACAAGAGCAAATTGGCTCAAATTGCACCAGAGGGGGTTTTAATTGTATATTAGGAAAAATTTCTTCACCGAAAGGGTTGTCAAGCAATGGAACAGGCTGCTCAGGGAAGTGGTTGAGTCACACTCCCTGCAGGTATTTGAAAGCTGTGTAGATGTGGCACTTAGGGACATGGCTTAGTGGTGAACTGGGCAGTTTGGGTAAATGGCTCAATAAACTCAAAGGTCTTTTTCAACCTGAAGGATTTGATGATTCTTTAAAATAATCCTGGAATTTTTCTTGTAGATATAAAGAATAGCAAGAAAGGTTACATCAGAAATAAACACAGAAGGGATTTTGTAGAGGAGTACCCAGTAACACACACAATTTTTTTTTATTAAAAATACAATTGCATAGAAAGTGAGCAGATTTCAATGAACTGGTGAAGAAGCTTAAACTGAGGAGCATCTGGCTGTTACTGTTGATTGTGAGTAACGATGTCACTTAAAAAGTAGTTAAGCTGAGTTTAAAATTGAAGAGGAGCTGTCTTTGAAAATAATAGAGTTCCTTAATGGTAGCCCTTTTATGATTCACACGTGCTCATTTGAAAATGTAAAAACACCTAGATGTTTACAGAGGTTGAGAGGGATTTTGTGCTCTGGGGAGTTGTCCCTCACTTTTTTTCCTCATTTGCACCATTTCTTTAAAGATACCTGTGGCATGGGATGTTTATTTGTGATGAAAAGCCTGTTCCATCAGGCCAGCACCCCTGGAGGCAGCCAAAGATTACCAGCCTGTCTGAAACTTCGGAGTCAGATAATTTTCTTATCTCTGTATTATTGTCTGCTGGTTTTCTTCTTCCAATAGTAATTAAAACCACACAAGAATCTGAGTCACAATTTCAAGTAGCTCTTCCACCCACCTGTAACACGAATAAGGAGGATTGCCCGGGTAGGGAGTTCTCAGTTTGAATTGCAATCTCTACACTGAAAGCAGTAATGCTGTTTAATGAGGTAAAATTCGCAGCAGTACAAAAGTAAGGGGCCACAGGATTGCTCTTGCTCAGGGTTTCTGCTGTGGGTGCTGACCCAGGACAAGACACCCTAGGTGCTCTTGAGTCAGGCAGACTATAAGCTAGACAAGTCTTGGTCGCTTGCCACTGATATTTTCTAGTTTTAGTGAATTATAGATATTTTAATAATTATCAGAAATTTTTATTAAATAGTCTAACATATGAAAAATTATTATAGTTACTGTTCAGAAAACAACTGTCAAGCAATATTCATCCTCCCAAAAAGGAGAATTTCATATAATGCATATACGTAGATTGCAAAGCAACCTTCTAGAAGTTATAAAGACATACAACAAAATATTTGGCTGCGACCTTACAGAAAATTTATTATTTTTAAAAAATTTTTTAGGTCCTTTCACTTTCAGACTGAATTTACCGAAACTCCAGTTTCCTAACCAAGTTTTTCAATGCCTCTCAGCACTTTGGAAACTGCTTTTACTCATATAAAGCTCTACACCTAAATAGGTGCACATTATCACAGACAGCTGAGGGTGATTGCATAAACAAACTGCTACGTGTTTAACATTCATATAGGCTTATGATCAGAATAGTCAGAAGCATATTTTGCATGTGCATTTCAGCATTTTCATACCTCCATGGCTTTATTTTCAAGTCATCCATTTCCTCCAAAAAGCAAAGCACATATTTATCACCAAGAATTAACTACATATCGAGCTTGCAGATTCAACACAAAGCTGCTTTTCAGCTGCCACAGCATTAAAAATAGTATCTGAAAAAATTACTTATGAAATACAATTTTCCATACATGAATAATTTAAATAGACAAATGAAATTTTATAAAACTATTCCCACCTCAAGTTGTATTTTGAGAGGACATATGAAATGTAAAGTTTTTTGAGCATATTAAAACACATGTAGAATATCAGCAAAAGCAGTGACGATTTTAAGAATAGAGTGGATGGTACATATCAGAATTGCTTGTGAAAACAAGCTGCATTTTCTGTATAACAGTTTTATTTCAAATGTTGTTTTTCTGACCTTAAAAGAATTACCCCTGACATCGGTAAGTAATTGTACAGCCTATTCTTACCTGAATTCTTCCTCACAGTTTTAAGAGACTGAGTTATTTCTTAGTGGCATGCTGATTTCTAGTCTTGCATAGGACTTAGCATTTTACAGATCTGAAAAACTCTTGCCTTGATGCCTGTAAAGTGGGAGCCAAGGAAAACATGCTCAGAGGTGGTGCATGGGGAGGAAGAGATAAGTGGAAAACAGCAGTACGTTAGCAGTACTCAGTGGTAGTCCTGTAAGGCCCATCACATTACTGTGTAGATGGGAAGGGAAAACACTCAGTAGGGAAGGAGAATGTGCAGAAATGAAAAGCAGACACAGCGATAAAACCTGTTTGAGAATCTCTGGCTAAACTGAGTGCAGAGTCTCATAAAGCTTGCCTCAGAAGTTACTTTGTTGTGACCAGAAAATAGCTCTTCTGCCTTTAAATGGTGGGGAAACTCACCATTGTTTTATATAAACGACCAGCTTCTCAGTTTGTTCAGGGATAACTAAGTTCAGCACATGTGGCATCATGAATAAGTCAGACAAAAGTAAGACTGAACTTGTAGAATACAACTATTAGGATAATCATCAGAGTGGGGAATATACCAGGCAATTTAAGACTTAGTTTATCAGGTTTCATAATTTAATTTTTGTAACCTTTTCTTAGGCACAGCTTTCACACATAGATTGATATTCAAGAGATATACTGACTTTATGTGATACGAATTAATTCACCAGCTCTGCAAAATAAGACATTGAGTTTTGTCACATAATGGCTACTCATATAATGGCCTCACCTACTATAGTAAGGCAAGGAAAAGATTACTAGTAGTTTTAGAGTGGATGGGCATAATGATCCCCTTGTGCTTAAAGAGGACAAAATGATGAAAGAAAATTGTAACTGTTACAATGAGCAATGTAGCTATTAGAATTGAAGCACGGTTCTTTTCTACGTGATGTAAACCGTCTAAACATTATTATATGTATTCTGAAAATGTTACTGCATATTATATAATTCTGCATTGTTAGGTGTGTCTTTTCACAGAACTGACCACGTGGAAGTTGTTTACAGTGACTAAGGAACAGATGGTGGAGTCTAAGGCTCATCAGTCATCCCCAGTTAAGGGCCAGTTTAAAGTATAGTTTGAGGACTTCAAAAAAAGGTTCATAAAAGTGCAATTCAGACTCAACAGCATAGGTAGTATCCCACATTTTAGTTAGATCCAGCTGTATCTGAGAACTGCTGCAAACTATCCCATAGCATATTTCCTGTCAAAATAGCTGGAGACCCTGGATCTTGAAGGTCTATTGCAAAAACATTTTAAAGACCATTACTTGTTTTACTGCATTCCTTATTTTAAACTCTCCCAAAGAATTACTAATAATATAACGTGGAGCAATTAGGCACAGTTCAATGTGCAAGTATGAACTGAAACAGAAGTTCTCTTATTATTTGAAGAATACACTCTGTCTTCTCAAAAGTCACAGCTCTTACTAAATATAGACTTTTATTTTAAAAATCTATAAATAGATGCCAATGCAATTCATCAGTTGAGCAAGACCTATAAGGAATTGGGAACCACCCGTTGCTTAGAGATGTGAAATGTCTGCTTTATTTGTTTCAAATGGAAGTTTTTTAAAAAGTAAGCTCTTAGTATGTGGCTAAATGAGATTACAGGGGCAAGAAAAAATTGCTTCAAATTCTGCAAAAGGACTTGAACTGCTGGACTCTATCAATCTCATGGGATGCTGTAAGGTTCATCTAATAAAGAATGAATGTGAAGTATTATCTCCCATTACAAGTTTACCTGAATACAATAATACCACAGTTCCTACAAACACAATACACACATTTCTGATGTCATATACCTAATTGAAAGTAATGGCATAATACAGTATTCATAGGGCACCTGTTAAATAACTTGAGAATGACAGATGATGAAAAGTAGCCATCAATCATCATTAATAGAATGTTTTGGGGCCCCTGGAAGGATGGAGGATACAACAGACTCCTTGATAATCCAGATATCAAGCATTAATGAACGCCTGCAGAGAAACAGACAGTGAGGATGAGATAGTCACGCAGCGTGATTTGCATAAGCTGGAAAACTGAGCCCATTTGAACAAAATATAGTTTTGTAGAATTAAAAGTAGGCTGTCTCTTCCAAAGGATAGACTGTATCCTGGAAAATACGAGTTCTGGAAAAGCCCTAGATGTCATGTCACAGTCAAGAAGCAATTTAATGCAAGCTTCCCCTGTGATAGTATGACAAAAAGGGTGAATGCAGTCTTTGAGTATGCATGTAGGAGAGTAGCAAGCAGCAGTCTGGAGGAGCATATTCCAATGTCATATACAGTCATAAATTATGCCCACTGCTAAACAACCATGTTTTGAAAAAAAGTCTGTTGACAAACCAATTGCCAGTTCTCCAGTCTGGGAAATACCCTTACAAGGGGACGCTGTCTTTCATACAGAGTTGATTTGCTGCACTTTATGCATACCTAAAGATGAAAAAAAACCCCTAAAACTGAAAACCACCGGAAAACCCAAACCAAACTGAAGAATGCCAGGCTTTAAAGGTTAACAGCAATGACGATTCCTGGAAGAATCAAATATTAGAAAACAAGGGCAAACAAGTTCAATTTAGAATTAGGGTACAATTTCTAAAACAGCAAATATGATTTAACCATTTGAATAAGTTGCAAAGTAAACCCATGGATTTTCCATTATCCACCTTCAAATAAAGACACTTAAGTTTTTCTGGCAAATATTTTATGGTAAGTTGAGTTAGCTATTGAATTCAACACAAAGATTAGCTGATGAAATCTACCATCTTGCACTATGTAGTGTTAGGTCAGGTTATCTAGCTGTTGATTAATAACTTGATTTTAAGGTTACTGGTAACACTTTCATGCATTTATCTACCTATTCAATGGTTGTATGAATAGATTAAAAGGAGAGAAGGAAGTCTGGAAATGAAATTCCAAAAAGAGTGAGTGTAAATTACTTCTGGAGATAATACAGGGAAAAATGGGTTAAAGAGCAAACCAATGGGCAAAACCCAGGTGTTTTCTTCAATGAATGTATAACTCCCATGAAGTGAAGCTACATGTAGCAACAGCTATATATGTAATTGTTTACTTTGTGTCTTACTACTTAATGGCCAAGTTCCTTAATCAACCTTAGCTTCTGAAGATCAATGAGCAATCTTCAAGTTGAGGGAGCCACATAAACCTAAACGCCGGCTACAGTTCAGAGCTGAAACATGACATTGCTTTTCTTTCACAATGAACTTTCCACCTCCAGCTTAGTACATTACTTGGCTCCAGCTGTTACTAGAAGTTATATGCTGGATTCCAGAAGTAATCCAAGAGGGTTGCTGCTATACTGGATCAGTTCAGATACTGGCCAAAGCAGAGGTTATCCTTGAACTCACAGCAGCAGACAGGATAAATGTCCTCCTCTGCACCTAATTCACTCAGGTGTTACTGGAACAGATGTTGTTCAGGTATTACTAAGTTTAATTCAAGATTGACTTCCTTATCTATCAGAAATGGATCAGCACCCACCTAAAAGCAGTTACATGCTGTTTTGGGTTTGGCTTTCTTTACCGGTCACAGTTAATGACATTGCTAGCCCAGTACCTTCTGTGCATTCTCTGTAGTTTATTTTTCCAGAATCAGATGTTTATTCAGAGTATAAGAAATAACTGTAATTTTCATACTCTTCCTTGAAATTCTAATGATGCAGCAATTTCTTTCTTCCTTAAGTCTCCCTTCCATTACATTATCTGAAATGCCACTGTTTCAATTTTTTATTCACTTACTCCCGACCCAATAAACTTACCTGTTTCTCTGACTCTGTCCATGCATTCTTCACTGCCTGCTTGTTCTGAATGGGTCACTTTTGTTGTTTTCCTCCACATCTACCTTCACTCCTAGCCATCCTATTTAGAGTACCTTGACTCCTTATTTCTCTGCAGTTTAGGGAAATATGGAAATGGGTAGGGACAAAATTTTGTTAACTCTATCTGAGAAAAAGCTTTAGGTAAACTTTTATTAAATTCTACTTCTGTATCAGCTAATGCACATCTTATTCTCACATCTGTTCTTTGAATAAGATCTCAGATTAAACAATGGGAGGTACATTCTAGACATATTTCTAAGGTAAAATAAACACCAGTATTTCAGTACTTTTCTTGTTCTGCATTTTAATAGTATCTACATATGTGTTCCATTACCAAGACCTAAGTGCTAAGATAATATGTATCTTTTATTTCCTCACTGCTCAAGGCAAACTTCTGCACTCCCCTGTTATATCTTCAATGACAGAGCTTTATTACCAGTCAATAAAATGCACTGCGTTAAACCCCACATTATTTAGCATATTGAATGTGACATTATGACTACAGTAAATAAAAGGTTTTGAAAAACTTCTTCACTGGTCACAGATGAGAATTTAAAATGACTCCATAAGCCCTTATGCTGCAATGCCATCACACTTATTTCAGAAGATTCAACCAATATGTAAAATGGTCTGTAATGGATTTGGATGCTCTTCAGCTCTCCTGCAGGTTAAGCTTCAATAAAAGGAGTAATTAGATGCATTTAACATCTGCTACAAAGCCACCAACATGATTTTTTGAAGCTTTATACCAAGATTCATAGTTGTATTCCCGATCTGTTTCCAAGTTAATTAAACTGAGGTGGAAAAGAAACTAGCCATTTACAAGTGAAATGTGTTTTGTAACTTCTTTTAGTGAAAATACTGCTCCTTTCACATCTCTTTTGAATGAGTGTAACATTGCCCCTGCTGAAAGGCTCTGATATCGTTGCTATTATGATGGATCAGTTTCTACATATAAATGCAAGCAGCCACAACGATAAGGGTACTTCTAGACACCTGAATGATGATACCTCACATTTTTTGCTTGAAGCAGTAAAAACACTGACGTGAAATCGCAGAGAGGCGTGCATGTTCCATATATACCCAGCTGCCTTATTTTTAGCAAACTACCACAAGATCAGGACTGAGGCCGTTGGCTTGCCTTTGACTGATTAATGAACATGCACTTAATGATCATCCTCAAACCTGCCCTCTGCCACAGCAAAATGAACATACTGTTTCAACTTCTGCAATAGGAAGCAACACAGACCAACCAGATATTCAATTAAGAGCTTTAATCAATGCACTGACAGTAGAGAATATGGTATTCTGAATTCCCCCCAGAAGATAAAAAAATACTTTAGTATTTTACAAATTTATAAAATTTAAAGTTTTCTCTTATATATAATATACAAATGTTTTTCACTACATGGTTATGGTTACAAAGCCAGCAATGAATATTCATACACTTGGAACTGACTGGCTCAGGGGTGGAAACACAGCCCCACCATTTGCCATGGGCACTGCACTGGAAAAGAGTGAGTCTTACAGTTCATTGATGACATCACTGTATGGGGAAACATGGTAGACAAAGTTTTTAAGAAAGGGTAGAAGATAATCCAGATTCTCCTGAAAGCTGGTTTTGCCATTAAACAAAATAAGGTCAAAGGAACTGCCCAGGAAATTCAGTTTCTAGGAGTAAAGTTGCAAGATGGACATCCCCACACTCCAACAGAGGTGATTAACAAAATAGCAGCTATGTCCCCACCAACTAGCAAGAAGGAAATACAGGCTTTCTTAGGTGCTTTTGGAGAATGCATATCCCAGAGTACAGTCAGATTGTAAGTCCTCTCTACCTTGTGACATGGAAGAATGACTTCAAGTGTAAAAAATATGCTCTACACTGCAGCCAGGGGAGAAGGGTCCTTTCTGGAGCCTCTGGCAAAAACTGCCTGGGGAGATCTGAGGAGAACCTCTGGGATTGTGGAGTCAGGGATACAAAGGATCTGAGGCCTGTTATACATCTAAACTGAAAAAGAGACACTGGCAGCTTATGAAGGGGTTTGAGCTGCCTCAGAAGTGACTGGCGCTGAAGCACACTTCCTCCTTGGGCCCCAACTACCACCGCTGAGCGGGATGTCCAAAGGAAAAATTCCTTCCACACATCATGCCACTGATGCTGTATGAATTAAGTGGATCACTCATCACACAGCGAGCAGGAAATCCTAATCACTGAGAGATCTTGTAGATCATCATGAACTGGTCTGAAGGTGAGAATTTTAGACTCTCATATGAAGAGGAAGAAGAGCAACTGACATGTGCTGAGGAGGCCGCACCAGATAATCAGCTACCAGAAAATGAAAAGCTGTAAGTTCTCTTTGCTGACAGCTCCTGTCCTATTATAGGGACAAACTGAAAATGGAAAGCTGGCGTATGGAGCCCTATGTGGCAAGTCACAGAAGCTACCAAGGGACAAGGTGAATCAAATCAGATCCAGCTGCAGAGCTGAAAGCTGTCCAGCTGGCTTTAGATGTTGCTGAAATAGAGAGAAGTGGCCAACATTCTACCTCTACACTGACTCGTGGATGTCAGTAAGTGCTCTGTGGGGGTGGCTGGACTGATGGAAAAAGGCCAATTGGCAGCACAGAGGGAAACCCATCTGGGCTGCTGAAGTGTGGCAAGACATCACTGCCTGGGTGGAGAAGTTGACCATGAAAGTTCGTCGTGTAGATGCACATGTACTCAAGAGTCGGGCTAACAAGGAGCATCATAACAACAAACAGGCTAAAGTGTCTCAGATACATCTGGACTGGTAATTTAAGGGTGAATTATTTCTGATTCGGTGGTCCCATGACGCCTCAGGTCATCAGGAAAGAGATGCAACAATATTCATACCATCACATTATCATGGGGGGCATGGGCTTGACAGGGAAAAAAGCCGTGGACTGGAAGGGGAAGGGTGTATGCTCTTGCCCTGCTGCTGGAGGGAGGGGCAGCTGTTTTTCAGAAGCCTAGCCATGGGTGATGGTCACTGCCAGGGCTGCCACAGCCTGGAGTGGATTGGAAGAGCTTGGTGGCAACAATCCCCCAAAGTCCCAGACGCCGTAAGCCCGGAGTCACCACTCTGCTGCCATCACCAGAGTCAGTGTTTTCGGCAGCACCACACCTCCATTTGGACAAAATAGTTTTCCAGGTTTTGCTTTGCCTCTGTTCTCTGTTGTTTTCTGGCTGGGGGAGGGCATTGGATCGCAGAACCTCATTTGCAATATTCTTTCTCTTTGTTCTACTGAGCCCAGTGGTCCAGCGTGGGAGCCCCCCTCCCTTTGTTGACTTAACTGTTTTCATTTATATCTTTGCAGTGACTGCTATTTCCTTAAGTAATTTGTTATTTTTTTATTTATATCTCTTCATATTGTCTCTTCATTATTGGAAGGGGTGGGGAGAGGTTAACACAAAAGAGGAGTGACCTGTTTGGAGTCTCAGTCCTCTGGTAGCTGACCAAAGCTGTCACAGCTACCAAATATATAACACATTTTTATGTTACAACTGTTCCTTCTTTTAGAATTACATATTCCCTGAGCTGTCCTCCTTAAAAACCAGAAAAGTCTAATAAATTCAAAAGTATAATGAATATGGTTGCTCATGACAGTGGTAAATGCTGAAGAAAATAATTCAGAACATCTATTTATCCATCAGATTGCTAAATTAAATAGATTTCTCACGTGAACTATATTAACATGAATGTTTTGAGTGCTAAACTTCAAAACAAGATTGAACAATACAGACCAATAAACCTCCATGCTTTGAAAAAGATGACAGGAGAGAAAACAATCCTTACAGACAAAAACAACAACAAAAAAAGAAATTAAGGTATTAGTTATTGAAATTTATCCAGAAAAGACTAATGCTCAGAATATGATTTGTGTTTTAGCCCAGAGAGGTAATATATAGAAGTCCTACAAGAAAAAGAGAGAGACATGTAGTGACAGAACTAGGGGAAATGGCTTCAAACTGAAAGAGAGGTGGTTTACCTTAGATATTAGAAAGAAATTCTTTACTCTGAGGGTGGTGAGGCACTGGAACAAGTTGCCTAGAGAAGTTGCCTCAACCCTGGAAGTGTTTAAGGCCAGGCTGGATGGAGCTCTGAGCAACCTGGTCTAATGGAAGGTGTCCCTGCCTATGGCAAGTGGGTTGGAACTAGATGTTCTTTAAGGTCCCTTTTAACCCAAGCCATTCTATGATTGTATGATTCTATGGTAAGTCTTCTGTATTATCTGATACCCTAGTAGCCATGGTAGGCTTTTGGTTATCACCATTACCATCTCTATTTGCCATATTCTATCACTTCCTGAGGCAGGTTTGTCTCAGTCACGTAATAAATAACTCTTTTCGCAAGGACAGAAGGCTTGCTGGAAAAAACCCCCACAGAGCAGTTCAGTAACTTTTGGGGAGAAATCTGGGGAACATTTGAGGAGCACTTTACTTGTGCACAGTTGAAATTACTACTGAAAAAAAGAAACATTGAAGAATAGAGAGGGGTGCAAGATATAAAAAGTTTTAATTAAAAAAAGAACCAACTTGCTGAATGTTTTGCCATCTCACTGCAGGACACTCTTCCTCAGCTGGATCAACCTGCTTGAATGTCTAAAGTCCTTCAAGGAAGGAGATAGTCAGAATGCATAGGAGAAACCAAAACCCACATCTTGCAGCCAGACAAACAGTAGCAACTGACCCAGTTTATTTTGTGGTACCGACTTAAACAGGGACTCTGTTCTCCTTGGCCCACTTTTTCATGATGCGGACAATGTATTCTACTTGAGAATTACCAGTGCTCTTCAGAAGATGCAGTACTTCCCGCAGAGTCTCTCTACAAAGGTGGAAAACAAAGATTTAAATTAGGCTAAGACTCAACTGATAAAATAAACTACAATAAACAAGTAAACTATTTTGCAAAACATGGTTCCTCCTAGACAGAGAGGTCTGTTCATCTGCAGGGCAGGAAAAAGTTAAAATGCACAGTTGATGAGATCCCAGGGACAAAAAACAACCAACCAAACAAAAAAGTCTTCTATGTAATTGTAAGGAAATGAAAAGTTAAAAAAAAAACAGCAAAATGTAATCAGTTTAGACCTTAGTGTGTGCATGTGTATTTATAAATCTTTACTCTTGCAAAAGAGTTCCCCAGAACAAAGCAAACTTTCTTTTTTTTTTTTTTTAAATCTTTACTGTTATTTGCTGGTCTTTAGTATGGCAACATCTAGCTTAATACTGCCAAAGCACCTTACACATAAACACAAATAACAGGGAAATTAACATTATCAATAGGATAAACCAGTATTCTGCAGTTAGCCAGCTAGTTTGCAGTAAGAACTTGTTTGCATATTTTGAAAAACAGAGTTGTATGTATTTTACTGCATCTGCTGCAAGTGATTGCTAAAAGGACACTTGTAAGGTGCAATAGTTAATGAGGTTATTTCAGCAGAGAAGTGAATAGAAGGAAGGTGTAAAAGCCAAGATACACACCTGTCAGTCACATAGGAAACAGCAACTTTGGCCAGAGGACGATGGCCATCTGGCATCACAGCCGAATATGCACAAGGGAGCAGTTCTTAAATACAGTCTCACTACTCTCTCTCATTCTCCCATCCAGTGAAATGGGCCGACACCAAAATTATCAGTAACATGGATGATTACCTCTTTTAATCTTTCATCAAGTAAGTATGTTTGTCTCACATGGACAGTATCTTCAGAAAGCAAATTTTAGTGAAAACAGTCTCATCTACTCATTCTTTGGAGAAATCGTGTCCTTCTTACAGTGCTGAATAAACATTTCCTTAGTTCTGTTCTATGAACTCTAAAATGTCATGTGACAGTCTTCCATTCTTATGTCATCAACATAAAGTAAGGTTGTTTTCCCCCAGCTCATAAACATACTACTACATTTATAACTTTTCTTAGTATGATCACTAATGTATTTTGGTGTCTTATGGTTCACAGCATTTGATTATAAGTTATTCTTCACCATAAACTGTTGTGGAAGATACACTTCAAACTGAAGACTGCATATGGAACCACTGGCCAGAGCCTCTATTCTCTGAAAGGTCAATAACGAATTGGAAAAAGATATGGAGTCCCAAAGCTAAGATTATGATTGTAGCTTACAGCTAACTGAAAACAGGAAAAGAGAAAAACAAATATAAAGACAACACAAAATACTCACTTTGCTTCTCGGCCAGCTAAGATCATTTGAAATACACCCACACATGCACCTCTCTTGCCTTCCCAGTATTCAGGATTATTGTCCAGTCTCTCCAGAACATCAAACGCTTTGGCTGAATAGTAAAATTGACCCATCTGCACAGAAAGGGAAACATTATTCCTGACTGTATGACCATCTTTTGGAAGGGGATTAAAAACACTGAGCTCAGTTTTCTGAAATCAGCAGTTAAGTCATAGAAGCAATGCTCATTTTCCTGTTTTTCTGCAGGCATCAAGTGATACAAAACAGGGACATTTCAGTTCTACAGAGGAGGTATTATAACATCTTTTTTGAGGTGCCCTTATCTAGTGTCATACCAACTATACCAAAGCCCTTGACCAAATATCAACCTCAAACTAGTCCAAACATTTGAAAATAGAACTACATTTCCTCATGTAGAGATGGTCACATATTTATATGCCTAGTGGGTTTAACTTAGGAGTTAAATTCTTTTTTCACTGTTACAGTACAGTACAAAAGAAGATTCAGTGACTCTATAATCCAAAATTTTTCTTAGCATAGGAAAATCTAGTGTGTACTCTAACTTTTCTGCCTACTTGTGATTGGGAACCATAAGCAAGTTGCTTGGCAACAGTCAGTGCAAAAGGAGTGACCATATTAACTGTGGATTTTGAAGTCAGCTCATGGGCTGTATCTATGACTGTGAGTGTTCTCCACTTGGGCAAGCCTGAATAGCAATGCTGTTTGTGAGTGGCATCTTCCCATGAGAGAGCACAGAATGTGGACTGAGCGTAACCTCCTATCCTTTGGTAGCTGGAAGCCTGCATTTGCAGAGAAAAAAGGGTAGGCTGGGGGAGTTACATTTGGAAACTTTAGTCAGAGAAACATGGGTACTACAGAATGAGTAATAATTCTCTTTGCTTCACATAAAAGTTTATCTGAATCACTGGTGACTGGAAAGCACTGTGGATGGGAATAAAGATAGTGAGTATAAATGGTATCAGATGTGTCAGCTAAAAAGAAAAAAGTGATACTGATCTATCCAAATTAGTATCTGATCTAGTTCCACTAAGCAGATACAGCTTTAATGTCCTCCTTCTATCTGACATTCAAGAAGGAAATGCTCACCCCAAGTCACGTGCTGTTCCCTATATGGACAAGATGGGCAGTTGCATAAAAAGCATCAAGAAATTAGCCAAAAGTCCTGCATCTCAGATTCCTCACTAAACAACTTCTGTCAGCACAGCAATGGGGCATTCGGCTACACCTAGTCTAAGGACACTGTTGACCTTGCTGCATCCATGCTCGCTCTGCTTTCTGTTGAGCAAAGCCTAGTGCAACCGCCTTCTTAAGTGACATTTCTGGTGCTGTGGACCTATGATATAATGTAATGTTTCAGAAACAACTGAAAAATGCTACATAAACTCAAACAACATGGACCTTGCTATTTAGTGGAAGAGGTACAAGCAGCTGCTAGTGTAGAAAGACAAACTGTAACACCATAGTAAAAATTTTTGAAATTGAATTCCTTGGCCTTTGGAGCAGACATTTATGGCTACATGTAGACACGTAATTAGGCTGAAAAATTTAGTCCTGTAAGTGCAGTTTTTCAGAGCTCTAGATAAATCCAAAATGTAGAGCTGCTTCTCCTCTTGCGTACAATAAGGTTTTGAGAAGAATTTAGACAAAGCAACCAACTGATTTAAGTAAGACTTTAAATGGTCTGGAGAGAGATTTTACATGATGTCTGTTTTCCAACTTGCTTTCACAAATTGCAGCTATGGGAAACACCAGAGGCATAGCAACAAGACTTTTAGGGTGCGATGGTGGACTGAGGACTTGAAAGACGTGCAAGAGATAATTCTCTCAGTTTTAGAATAAGGCTTTTGAGATCACAAAGAGTACCTCCTATTGCCATTACAAGCTTTTAGGAAAACAAGACTGTCCCAGAAAAAAAAAAGCAGCATGAGGCTCCTTGCCCAACCTCTGCTAAATTTTTTTCCTTAAAAGTTTTTTGTCATTTCTACCTCTAATGAATCCCTAGTAGAGAAGAAACTGTTATTATTGATAGCTCAAGCATGCAGTAATTTATCAATGTTTTAATCAATGGGTTGTCTATCAAAAGGCCTGTAGGTTTAAATATTGACTAACTCTTGCCAACTCATCCACATTATTTGACATCCCGCTGTTATAAAAGAAAGTTCACTAGTGATGACAATGATAAAAAGTATCCAAAAAATGACTATTGGTACAATCACCGAATTAACATGTCACACACCAAGCTCTGAAGAGAAAACTCACTTTGTAGCAATCATTTGCAATGAGCTGCAATAGGTTAAAGGAGTCCCCTGAGGTTTCCATCTTCAGATAGAGTTTCCAGGCCAACTGTGGTTTCTTATTCATAATATCTGCAATAACAAGAAAAAGCTGAAATTGTGAAAAGAATATGCCACACACAATACCCAATGGAAGGTGGAATAGATGTCCCTGTATTTCTTTGCTTAATGTAAATGCATGCCTTAGCATGAGCATGAGTCTAGGAAGCCTTATCTTCTGCCTTACTAGTGATAACAGCCAATTCATCAGAGAATACCAATGTCAAGAGGAATAATTATGGTGTTTACATCTCAATTTATATTTCACAGCAATAAGAACAACTCTTATGATTTCAGGTGTGATAAAGGAACAGAACAGAATGCCTTAGAGAAATTTTTTTATGCAAAACAATGCATTCAAGCAGTGTTTGGGCAATACTCTCAGGCACATGGTGTGACTCTTGGGGACAGTCCTGTACAGGGCTAAGAGCTGTATTCAATGATACTTGTGGGTCCCTTTCAACTCAGTATATTCTGTGATTTTGTGAAAGATCACGTTAAGAGATGTTTACTACATCTGCAGTATGGCATAACATCCCAAAATCTACATATTTATATTCCAGGTATAACTACTCAAAATTGTTTGATTTGGAACATTTTTGTATTGAGGCACTGTAAGGAAAACAAATTAGGTTAGGGAGTCTCAGACTTGAGTCATTAGAAAAGTCCACCACTTCTACACTATTTTGTATGTGGCATTGTAGCTGTATCTGTACTGAGATGTACTCTGCAATATCTTAAAAATTGGTTCAGAAAAAGTAAATAAGATTTGCTAGAGAATAATAAACACAGCAAAAGTTTCCTGCATTCAAGGAAAGAACGAAGAGGTTTTGGAAGAAAAAAGCATGCTAGAGATTATAAAGGATATCCCTCAGGCACAGGAGTTTGGACAACATGTAGAGTAATATGGTAGGAAGCAAAATACCACATATGCTTGCCTGATTTTTCTCTTCTGTAGACATCTAACACTGGCCACCCTTGGAGGCAGACAGACCCCTGGGCCTGGCCCAGTATGAATGCTTCTATTTTGTGTTTGAACATATTATAGCTGTAACACAGTATTTTAAGACAGAAAGCCTTCACTCAAGCAATTGAGTAGACAATTGAGAAGAAAGAGGGTCACTGGCCAGGACAAAGCTGCACTGACAGTAGTGTAACAGCATTGCACTGAAGCAGTAATTGCTTATAAAAGCCAAATGTATGAAGGTGCAATAACCACCCACACTATAACTAGTGCAATCAGCTTTTCACTTTCATAGTCCAGAATCCACCTACAACATTAAATTCAATTAGGAAAGTGGATTGCCAGGACTGACGCAATAGAGGAGGATCTGTATTCTGCAACGTTGAGAGTAAAGTGACTCACAGCAGCGAGCTAGCCATCTAAGGTAAACAAAATCACTCTTTATCTTCTCACTCTGGATCAAAAGGAACACCTGCAGGAAGAAGGAAAACAGAAGATTATACATGCATGTACTTTTAAACAAACAGAAGGCAAACAAACCTACCTCGTTTCAACACGCAGCTTAGGCTTAAGCCACTCAAACAACTGCTTTGTGAGAAGAGTTTGGGTATGCAAGTGCAGTGTAGGGACATCCCTACTCTGTGTGGGGTAGGTGGAGGATTCACACAGTGCCCTGCTTGTCAAGGGACTTGTGCAGCTTCAGAGTGCCAAGCTGAGCAGAGGGTGCAGCCTGCTCTGAACAAGTGCCAGCGGGCGGCCATGCAACACAAACAGCACAAAGGAACACTGGGCCTGTGGGAAAAGCTATTTGGAATGTGTATGTTTAGAAGGCGATGCAAGCAATTACATTAGCATCTTCTTGAAATACCAGAAGTTTCACATATAGATGAGCCTTTCCTCCCCACACATGTCAGAGATCATTCCAGGTCAGCAACAAGCCATTTCTAACCATTTTGGTTTCAGTAAGCGTCTGAGGCAAAGCATTCATCTTTTGTAACTTATCGTACAAATACAGGTTTATTACATTCTACATCTAAAGGGATGTGTGGGGGGAAGTTATAAATTTTAAAATGTACTCTGGTTTTGCTCACAGAAAAAATGAGCTATTTATGCGTCTCTCTAGTATATTTGTAACTATACTGGATGCTACTGGCAAAACTCAGAAGACCTTTATAGGAGCAGATGTATGTACTGGAACAGTGAGTTCCACAAATTACTAACATTTGTATTGCTTAAACATTGCTGAACCCCTAATTTTGGGGGAAGGGAGAAGGATTAATAGGGAAGAGATTTAAAAAAAGCAGCATTATCACTGTAGGTAGCACTTTATCATAGGTTTTATTTCATTATGTCCAGGGAGGTATGCTTTTATATAACTTAATAAGTGCTATATGTGGAGTTGTTCTACAAGTTTATGAGACACTGGGGAAGGCTGATCTTTATACGGAAGTGTCATCACAACCAGAGATCAGATATGAGGCCAGATGAATCAATTTAACTACATAATTCTGTTATTTGAATGCATCAGCTATATTACACAAGTTTCTATAGAACAACTTCTAAAAAACATAAAAATGTATACTAACAGCAGCTTACACCTTTGTGTTCCTTTGTTGCTGGGCTGCTACTAAAACTTACTTATGGTATTATAATTTTTATGAAGTCTAAGGAATCAGCATAGCCCACTAGCATAGTTTTGAAGGATTTTCATTAAGCTAAGTGAATTGAAAGCTTGGTGAATTCAAATATCTATCCATTTCCCTGACAGTCTCGGAATATTTTTCCTAAAGATAGATGAAATTTCAGGTGACAGAAATTAAGGGGTAAGGGTGCTGGGTGGGGTGGTCAGGACAGGGGGGGAGACAGATTGTAAAACCAGGAAGGTTTTGTTATTGACAAACCTAAAGAGTTAAAAAGTTAGAGAGACAGGAAAAACAGAACAAAAACATAAACCCCAAACCAACCAAATCTAAATGATTCACTTTAGGCTACGTGGTGTGGGATTTTTTTTTTGTGGCTTGTCTTCTTTCTGGTCTTGTGGAAAATGTTGCTTCCATCTTCATAATAACTATTTGCTTTTGCATATTTTAGTTGTAATTAAGTTTCTGCTGTACAGACATAAAAAAGTACTGGGTATAGAAGTTAATCTCTTCCAGCTGCATCTGGATGCTGCTGAATAAGATAGTGAGCACTTCCTCTTTTCCTCCCACATCTCCCAGAGGAAGATTTTTTTTTAAAACACAAATTTCTAGGGACACCTAGAAGCTTTTAACTATTCAGTGTCTTTTACTCAGCATGCCCTACTCAGTCTGAACAAAGAGTGCCTGGGATCCCAGACAAAGCGTAGGAAATCTGATTAAGAGGCCATTCTTTGATCAATTAGAGGTAGCTGCAAGCACTCTTGTGATGCATCACAAGCAGCATGACTCCTCATATACCTCACATTACAAGATTAGCAAGATAATCTTTTCTGAATAGTATTCACTGAGAGTTTCAGTTCCTCTAAGAAGGGGAAGAAGATATTCCACACAACCTGCTTATTTTCAACTAACATGAGGATCTGGGAGGAGAAAAGGAAGGAAAGAGGGGAGTAGGGGAGAAATGTTTCCATTGCTGTTTTTTAAAGAAAACAAATACATACCTCTTCAGCCTCTTTAAAATTGCCTGTTGCAGCTTTGGCTTGGGCATAGTTGAAATTAAAAGTGTCATTGTTGTAGAAGTAACTCTGAAAAATAAGACTCATGGGTAAAGCTCAAACAAATAAAGCAAAACCCCCCTCCTCCCATGATATAATAACATTAAAAATACACCCTCACCCCCAATCTGAGTCCGACCATATAAAGACAATGGAAAGGAAAAAGAAAAACCCACATTAGGAACATACGGTATTTATAAACAGTGGGCAGAAAAATTATGGACTGGCTTTCCATCCTACATTCGTGACTACAAACACAGCTCAAACATTCCACAATATTAACTATGAGAGATCTGGAAAATGTTCCAAGTTCAAAATTGCAGTGGCAGCCTTTGTGGGTATAATTTTCACTTGGGGCATGTGAAGACATGCTGTGCTGCCATGGCCTCTTTCACCTCCCAAGCACTTATTTCACCACTAGGGTGGGTAAATAGGCAGTTGACTCCCTGAAGTCTTTAAGGAGATGAACACTTTTGTTTTTTCAAGACTTGTCAAGGTTCATCAAGAGATCTTGTGGACCTGGTTATGTGACAGATGCTAGTCTGACACACTGGATCGCATGATGGAGGTGGAGCACAGTACTAGGCTACAGCAGGCAGCACACCATGTAATAGGACTTTCTAAGCAAGCCTTGCTTACAGGTACCCTTCTCTCTAGTTAAGTGCAATACAAAGTTTTTCTCTCCCATAATATCAGACATGATACATCTAGTTTAGAACGCATCAGGCTGATCTAGCTGTATCTTGTTGAAAAGCTACCTGGGTCAAAGCAGAAACAGGCTGGCCTGATGTTTGGGTTTGACCTGAAGAACTGAGATTTTATCATGGTCAGATGTCCAGAGAGAAGTGTATAACTCAGATGTTCAAAAGTCAGCTGTGTTCTACATTCAGCACTGCCCCACACTGCTGCACCAGTAGAAATGGTAGAGATAAGGTAGAACACAACACTACAGTTACAAACATGGATGGGATTAATGATCCCTGTCCATTACTGGTGCTCTGCTTATGAAAGAACATGGGAAAAAAGGTAGGTACTGTAAGAAAAGCCCTCCTGGGTGCTCAACAGCAAGGTGTAGGGAAGAAGAAGTGTTTTTCCTTATATAATATTTATAAAGGAAACAGAACTTGAGTATGAAGATCAAATTTTTGTTTTGTTTCCTCATTAAAGACTGAGGAGCAGGTAAAAAGCATAGTTGGGACTGTACAAAAGACATGTGAAGCAATGGGCAAATCCCTTTCCCAGTGGTGTCTTATTTCATGATGTAGGGACACTGAGGAGCCCCTTCCCTTACCTGTCATAGGTAATCAACAAAGGGTGCTGATTTAGTCCACCCACATACATCAAGCTAGTGCCTTGAAATGAAAGGTGGGAGACTGCCACCCTTTCCAAATGTTTAGGTTTCACCACAATAGTCTGTGTTAGGGTCTACAGGCAGGCAAATATAGAAAACTGTCTGAGAGCATGAGGATGAACCATTTGGGTGAATTTTATGCTCAGTTTGTGCAAACATTGCAGTCCTCTTAGGGTGAACTAACGGGTTTCACCATATGAGGATTACAACACTTTACTGTATTCTTTCTCAATAGTTTGAAGTGAATCAGCACAAGTCCCAGGTTAAGCAAAGCTGGTGAGCCAGATGCACTTTTACTGTGTGAATCGTTTCTTCTGTTTAAATAGTCCCCATTGTATTTTTCAATAAAAATGGAAAAGAAACTCTGTCAGCAACCAAACTCAAAAAATCTGTCATTCTGTCCTGACTGTGTAAGGGCTAAAGAACACACCTACTGCAAAACTGAAAACAGTAGAAATTAACAATGTTCTGGGGTTTTTTTGTTGTGTTTTTTTTTCTTTCTTTCTTTTTTTTTAACCCATACTATATGTACCAGACTTCACTCTTTTGTGGTCTTTTCAAGGTCTTTAATCTTTTCATAAAACTAACTGTCCTCTGAGTGTTGTCCATTCCAATGAGATGCTCAGATACCCAGCTGAGCAATGAAGAATTCCCATTGTGGCCACAACTCAGCTGAGCCTGAATCAGGTTGTTTTCTCAGTTGATCTCTCACAGTGTTACAATGTCACCCTTGGGGTAGCTGGCAATACATTTAAAATAAGGAGTCCTCTGGGGATTCTCATGCCTAAAGTGGTTTTAACTGATCACGGATGAACACAGTGTTTCTTGAGAGAACATTACATAAATAATCTTCACAGAGTGCATGCTCCACTTTTAAGAGATGCAGAGATACTACTGAAGTTTATTCCTATGAATGAAACACAAAGGTAACTGTAAAGCCACCTACACCTTGCCTGTAACATGGTAAAGGAAGAATTACTTGCATCCCTGTGAGCTGAAGAGAAGGGAAATGACTTAAATAAATCTGGGCATGCTTATTCTCAGCTAAAAAATTATGAGAATGATCGATTACTTCAAAACGATCGTGCAAGATAAGCTGTAGGAGGGAGTAAAGTTTTGTCCCATATACCTTGAAGGTGGTTTGTAATCGCATTTAACTTTGACCTTCTCAGGTTAAAACTAGCTGTTTAAGAACCTTTTAATGGAAATGGAAAGAGCTGAGCATATCTGTGGGGTGATTCAGTGCACTGTAAATGTAGGAAATATACAGTATGAATTTTCTGGAAATTACTGTCTATACCCACTGGCTGTAAACTGAGACCAGATGATCAGTTCTAACTAGAAATAAGGCTTTTAGATGGCTCAAGTTAGGCAAAAAAATTCTCACCCTTAGTTTCCTTTTCTTAACTACATACACACGCTCCCGTTTGGGGTGGTAGTAGTATGACTCTTCATTCCACTCCACTGGAGCCATGCCAGCGGCTAGAGCCACTGGGATTTCCTCAAAGGTCTCTTTCCAGACAAAGTTTAAAAACATTACACCTTCATCATTTTTTCACTCATCAACTGCTTTTGGCACCATTACAACCATGTTTTTCTTTAGATCTCACCCTCCTTAGAACATTGTCATTCTGCTCATCTTGTGTATCTCCCAAATAATTTCTTTTAAGATTCTCATTCCTTTTCCTATCAAATATAGTTGTTAAAACTCTAGTTTCAAATCACTGGAACAAGACTGCAATCATTTAACCTACAATCACACTCCAGACCCTTCTTTTCTCACATCTGACTTATAACCGTGTATCTGTAAGTTATATCCATTTTATCCATTGAATACTGGTGATCTGATAATGCTGCATCACGTTGACTTCAAACTCCTTCTCTTAGTTTGAAAAAAGTAACATTTGTCTGCAGGGTACCACTCAGATAACTTCCACAAAAATAGTGTTCTTAAGTTACTGCTTTTGTAATATTGCCCTATTTTAGCCCTTCAGTGACTGGTTTCCCTGTAAGATATAAAAGTTATTATTTTCAGACTCCTTCATGTCCTATCTTCTTTATACACTCTTGTTCATTACAATGTTGTCTCCCAACAATTGACAATAATCTCCATCACTCATTTGGTAAGTCTTAAGAAAACATTTGGGGTTTTTTTTCCTCCATGCTGCCCACCCCATAAATATCCACAAATTTTTTTACTGTCTTCCTTTAATTATCTTCCTCATCTTCTATGATGCCACCAGAAAGCCTGATAATGGGTAAATTGCAAATGTGATGAGACCATCATGCCCACCATGCTGCATGAAGCTATTTTCTAAATTCCTTCTTTACATTTTGATCCATTTGCTGTGCTGACCACTTATGTCCCACTGTTGTTCCTGTTTTATTTTTACTGTTGTTTCTGTATCTTTTTATGTTCCAATTTTGTCTCACATAGTACAGTCTGTAAGTAATGATTCCATCCATTACAGTACTAGCAATACTAAATAATATACTAACCTTGATTGAGTTGAGGTAAATTAGGACATTAGGAAACTGTCTGAGAAGAAAGAAGCAGGAGGACATGCACTGTCTCCCTGGAATGGTATCTAAAATTCAAAAGAGAAATGCAAATTTGTAGAATTAAAAAAACACATGGTAATGGAAATCACTGCCAAGATTGCTGGCAACTATGAAAGCAGCTAGTTTCTAAAAATAGTGTAGCTTGCCTTTTCAGGCAAAGGACCATACTAGAGGTTAGAAAAAACTTTCAGTTCATCTTGACATCTCTCTCTACAGCATCCAATAACTATTGCAAGACTTTATTCAACAGCAAACTCTACAGAGACAAATGGTTTAAGTAACAAGCTTTTTCCATGACACAATTTATGTAGCATAATTTTACCATGAATTAATCTTACTCTTAGGAAATGGCACTTCATACAAACCTGAGCTTGTTATTCTAACCTCATTAGCCTTCTTTCTTTAAAATTATGCTTTTCAGTTATCCTGGACAAAGATGCTCTACATATTTTAATTTTAGTACAAGTAAGAGAGTAAACTTGATAACACTGAAAATATCATTATAAAAAAAGAATTAATATAGGAACAGGAAAATACTCAGTGATATCAGACAATATGGAAATCAATGCCCATGTTTTTGGAATTACCACATTGCTCACAAGTGGTAAAGCCATAAATAAGTCAGACACATCAGTTCAAATGAGTGTCATTAAATTTTGCTGCTATCTATGTCATCATAACTTTGCTGCAACCGTATTATGCTGTCATCTACTCTGACAGTGTAAGCTGTGTTACTGAAAAACTACTTCAAAGCTGTTTTAAAGATTCTGAAGTAAGCTTACTAGAACTAATTTTTGTTAGTCCCAACTAGAAGAGATGGCTGAACCCAAGCGCAGCTGGGAAGGCCTAACTGCAAGTGATTTCAAATCACTCTTATTTCTCTACATGAAATGATCATTAGAGAGCGTGTGCTCTGTGCAGTTTGGAAAGATGTCGAGAGATAAGATCCTAAGGCTACCAATATCCCTGAAGTAATCTGCTCCTGGATGTTAGTTACTATCAATACATCTGCACTAAAAATAACTTTTCTGCATATAGAAATTTCATGTAACTGAAGACTAATACTTTGACTCCATACCACCACACAAAGTAGAGGATTCCACTGGAAGACTGTATTTTCCCCTTTAAATAAGGTAGGGTAGTAATTATTCCTGGAAAGCACAATATAAGATCTCAAAATACATTTCAAAGGAAAGTGAAATATTCTCATTTTTTATCTTTTAACACTAGGAGATACTGAGCTTGAGTGTCCTGTCATTTCTGTATGGAGACAATCAATCCTTATCTATGTCTGAACCACACCATTCTGTTCTCCAAATTCAGAAAATTATTTGGTTATTTATGAAGTGTTCACTTGTGAGCAAAACTGGCCTGTATATTTACACGTCCTTTCTTACATGCATGGATACTTTTCATGACAAATATATGCCTCTACAGGACAATAACAGAAACAGTTTTACAACAACAAAAAAAAAAAGTGAAGAAAACACTGAGTAATGAAACTGAAAGTAACTCAAAAAAGCTCATTTTCTCTGACATTAAATTTTTAAGGTTCATAAACTCACAATTTATTTTAAACAAAATTTTAAAAATGCAAAACATGCAAAGAAGAATTAAAACTAAGGATAAGGATACATTTTTAGTAAAAATGAATCACAGTAACAAAATATTAGAAACACAATTTTCCCATATATGATTTGAGGGTTTCTAAGTTTTAGCATTTATTCTTTTGTCCACATTTTGGCAGAAAATTTTATTATCCCAGCATACCACCCTCTATATACTTTTAGTAACAGATTTTGTTGAAAAAAACAAACAAATAAAACTTCTGAGTATCTTATACAACTCAGCAATGACTACTACTAGTGACTGAAAAACTAGTTTTACAGTTCTAATGCACCGCAGGTGACTCATGCAGGAAGAGGAAAAATTTGCCATTTAAAATAATTACTCAGGGTGACCTAAGAGTACCTCAAAGAAAAGACCACATGAAGTCCAGAAGAAATGTTTCATTCCTCCCACTCAATATCAGATATGCCTGACTTGGTCCTAAAGGAGGACCACTGAAAACAAAAGGGCTCCTCATCATGCTTGTAGTGGTTTTGGAATAGTTTGTAACACTTATGTTAAGCACCAGAAGGACTGCATTTAATGGAAATATTAACGTTAATTTACTTTTACTGATGTTCCTCTTATCCCATTTCCTTCTTAACTTATCTTAAAAATCTGATCTGTTTAATTTTCCACTCAGTTGAGACCCTGGTAGAAGAGCATGAGAACTAACTATAAAAATCTAGTTATATCCTCCTTCGTAATGTCAGTTCCATTTCACATCATTAGGATTAAGAATTTCTACTAAGCTTAAAAAAACCCCAGTAACCAGGTTGCTGTTCTGGGTGTTATTTATTGCTGCTAGAGGATGAATATTGACTCCTACATTGTAAGTGCTTCCTGGATTTTTTTTTAGTTTTTGTTTTGGGTGACCCTACTCCCATTAAAGTTCATAACATCAGTCCTGGGACAAAATCTGTACATTTATTGGAAAGGACTTTAACTCAGGTTGCTCTATGTTCCTTCAACCTCCAAGTCAGAGATTAATTAAAAAAGCAAAGGCCTTAACTGATGATTCCAAATGACTTTACAAATAAATGATACTATACTTCCTAAATTGTACGTTGCTGCCTTTTTCTTAATGCAGTCATGGGATTTCTACAGCTAACAAAAGCAAGTCAGAAAAAATATTTCACATGTTAATTTTAATCCATTATTTTTTGATAATCCACATTATCAGCCTGTGGTGACTGTTGTCGTTTAACACCAGCTGGCAACTAAGTACCACTCAGCTACTTGTTCGTTCCATCCCCTCCCCCTAAAAAAAAAAGTAAAACCTGTAGGTTGAGATAAGAACAGTTTATTAATTGAATTGAAACAAAATATTATTATTATTATTATTATTATTATTATTATTATTATTAATAGTAGTAATGAAAATGAGAGAGAAAAGAGAGGGAGGGGAGAGAGAGAGAGAGACAGGGCGAGAAAGGGGAGGGGAGAGAGAGAGAGAGAAGAGTAAAACTCCAGAAAAACAATACAATTGCTCACCATCCATTTACCAATGCCCAGCCCACCCCTGAGCCACAATTATAGCTCCTCCCAGTCAACTCCCCCCAGTTTAGGTACTGGACATGATGTTCTACGGTATGGAATAATCTTTCAGCTCATTCAGAGCAGCTGTCCTGGCCATGCTCCTTCACAACTTCTTGTTCAGCTCCTCACTGGCAGAGTAGGGGAAATAGAAGAGTCCTTGACTTTGGGTAAGCACGACTTAGCAACAAGTAAAACACCTTTATCACCGTTATTTTCATACTAAATTCAAAATACAGCACCGTACCAGCCTCTAAGAAGAAAATTAACTCCATCCCAGGTAAAATAGGACATAGGCCCAGTTGCAAGGAAAGGATTTCCTCACTCTGGCAAGCCCAAACCTACTTCTGTATTATAAGTCTGGAAAGCAGTTAACTTGATAAAGATCTTCAAAGACAATCTAGCTCCTTGCAAGGACTGGCCGAGTGGGAAGTGCTGAAGCATGACTTACATGCGTGAACAGCATGGCTGGCTGCTTGGGAAAAGCCCAAGTATACAAACAGCAAGAATTCTGTTCTCCATTCTAAATCCAGCAAAATGAAGGGAGCAGATAAAAAATGCTCACAAGTATACAACATAGGAGCTAATATGCTAAGTTACCTATGACATAAAAATTATCATATTGGATCCAAAGCTTGTCTAGTTCAGAAGCTTGCTGAGTAAGAATATACTGCTATAGAAAGAATATATTCTGATTTCACATATAATAAATACTGGGGCACATAATGTTACTTCCTCTGAAGCTTCTCCTAGCTTCCAACAATCTGCACCGAGGACTTCATCACTGAAAAATTTGTGTTAAATAGCTAATAGACTTATAATCTAAAAATTTCTTTTTATCTTCTGGTTCTCACAAGTTTCTCTATCAAATAAGTTGCGTTATGTGAAAAAGTAATTCATGCTGTTTGTTTTAATTGTCTTGTATGATAGTTTATGTCAATGCTCCTTGGGTTTTGTATTGTACAGTAAATAATTCTTTTTTATTCCTCTTTTCCTTGTCATTTATGATGCACATAAACAAACTCAGTCATCACTTTTCAGCCCATGTATCCTTCTTTATTTAATCTCTCCTTGTTTGAGAAGCTATCCCCTTTCTCTGATCACCCTTGCTGTCTTTATTGTATCCTTTCTTGTTCTACCGCTTTTTTAAGAAATGTAAGAACCAGAGCTGCAAACAGTATTCAAGGAAAAGAATCACATAGGTATACAATGACACAGTAATTATTTTTGTTTTGTTCTCTCTTTTCTCATCAATTCCTAAGATTCTCTTCAACTTTTCTGATAATTTTGCTAAATTTAATTTGCATATTATTACCCAGTCTTATGTAGTCTCTCATATCTTTCATCATTGTGGAAGCTTTTATTTTTACTACTATGGGTAATTTTGTACCATTGGCAAACCTAGTCATGTCATTATTTGTATCCTAGAGCTCATTAATTATGAATACGAGCCCTTTCTTTAGAGAAACAAAGGGTTCTTTCAAATGTTCAAATCAGATGTATTTCATCCTTTTCATTGCAACTTCGCTCTAATTTTTTGTCAGAAATGAGAAAGGTTATTATGTAGGTTCTTTTCTTGAAATTAGTTCTGTGGAAAGTTTTTTGAGGTATTTGCTAACACGTGGATTTAGAATTTGATTATACTCCGATGACTGTAGCAGAATTGGAGTTTCATTGTAAAATTTCAAATCTGGTTCTATGTAATCTCTATATTGGTCCATAGTTACCTGCCCACTTGTGCCTTCTCTGAGCAAAATGGAAACACTTCAAAACTTCATGCTGTTTATCATGCCATGTCACTGCATTTATTAGGTCAAAATGGCCAGAACAGAAGTCTCTAACTATTATTTTATTATCTTTCTATATAAAATCTCTAAACCTTTTTAACATGTCAGTCACTGTTCCCATCCAGGTTGTCTGGTGAATAATATGGTGAGTTGCCTATCTAAACATATATTTTAAAAGAGTATTATTTCACTCACTGATAATTATTTTTTCCACCCGTCAACCATAGGAAGGTTGAAGTCTCAGCCCTTCCATCTTAGTTTGCATATGGGTTTAAAAGTATTTCACAGTGAAATTCAGACCTTTGTCTTCCTAACAATTTCAATTTTGGTTTTGGGCTACATCTTCACTACAAATCCTTTCAGGATATGTTTTCTCAGACTATCTCTGTATTATTTTTATCCATGTATGCTGTGGTCGTTCATTACACCTGCATGATCGTAACAGGCATTAAGAATCCACCACCACTGTATCAGTCCCTCGTGATTTTACTGGTATGACAAACCCAGGGAGCTATATTCCTACTAACCGAGTCCTCCACTACTACAGTTCATATTGTTCCTTCCTGTTATCTGCGATCCCAGCTCTGAAGGGATAGCCTCAATGCAAAGGGAACAAACTAGGGAAATCTCACCTATGGAACTATTTCCAACATAAAGCTCTCTGCTGCATGTGGCACGGAACAGAATGACTCAACAGTATTTCTGAAAGTTTCATCAGTGCTGCCGCTCTCTTGAGCTCCTTCTCTTTAGTCACCATGGACACAGGAGACAGCTTTCTGTCTCTGAGGACCATGAGCTGTCTGCACCATAAATATGCACAAGTTCCCCACCTAAAGAAACAGTACTAAGTGACAGTGCCTACAAAGGAAACTGGGAAGCCCTACTTCATCTGAATTTCTGTGTTATAACAACTGGCTTTTTTTATTTGGGGATTTTTGACTTTGGCAAAGAAAAGGGAAGATAAGGTCTTGGTTCGGTCTATTACTGAATAAGTAAAAGTAAATATTGAAAATACGCTGATTTTTTTCTTGGGTTTTATCAGGTGGTTTTTTTTCATTCAAGCAAGGAGTTAGTCCCAGAGCCTCCATTTCTGTCTGTAGGCAAAGTCCTCCTTACATTTTTATCACGCTCAGTTTCAGTGCACACTCCATGTTAGGACTCTGTGTACTTGATAGGCTTTCATGAGTGGTCCTAGATTTGTACCTGTGAGTCTCTGTACCTGTGAAGTTTCAGCCACACAGTTCATCTAATTAATTAGGCTGTTATCTTCTGTTTCAATAATGGGTATTGTTAGTCAAAGGCAAACCACAGAGTCTCTCAGTAAAGACGAAGAGTTTGCAGTACAGCCTCTTTTCCAGCCAAAGTCATACAGTAAGGCTTGGAACAAAATGAGCCTTCTAATTTAAACTTCCAAATTTGTTTTACACTTCCTGATACCCATCCTGTAAGAACAAATACAATAGTCCTGCCAACAGTCAGGGGTTAGACACGGATAGGGTAGTATATATTTGGATATTTTAAGATGGATTACATAATGGAGAAAGAATATTTCAAACATACCACATTCGCTGGCTGATTCCCCAACCAACTGGAAGAACTTCTGAGCAATTTTCAGATGATCTCTCTGGAAGAGGAAAAAAAAAAATAAACCCAACATGGCTTCCAGAGTTGATGCTACAATACACAATGAAAATATGCTCTAAGGAACTGATGGGGAGCAACTAACAGACAAACCAGGGCTGAAGGAAAAACAGAAAAGGTAAATGTGCCACTGTATATGCCTAGATACACAAGAATACTGTAGAAAGCAAAGTTTTTTTGGAAACAGGATAGAGAAGCCAAATTAAGTTTGATTTACTGTCAAGACCAGCAATGGAAATTTGCATTTTACTCATTCTGGACTGACTACTGTGTGGAAGGAGGTTGAGAGACTCAGAGATTCTGCAATCTAAATGAGAAATGACTGTCTCATTCAGTCCATTCTAGTCTCTACAAATGTGGTCCTATTCTGTTGTTGGAGAAGCTGGAGAACTTCTTGGGCTTCACTTACTGAGCCAAGTTCTTGTCCAAGTGCTGCATTTACGACTCCTTTGAGGATGTACTCCTGAAAAAAAATTGTGAAAAGCATCAGAGAAGACAAGGTAAAGATTTCATAAGACACATAAAAGCCTATGTGTACATTATTTTCTTCATAAATTTAACTCTATCCCAGCTCAGTTGAGTAGGTAGCTGGTTACTATGATAACACTTAATAACAGTAGTACTGATTTAGCCCCCCAAAATGCATTCTACTTGCTAGGTAGTCACTTCTGCTAAATATATGGGATGCAAAAGAGTACTGTGTTTTCTGATAAGTCTTATGGTCAAAGACAAGGCACCAGAAGGAACATGATAACATCCTTTCATGCCCCTTTCACCATCATATGACCAATAAGTACAATCTTGTTATACTAAAGCACAGATCCCATTTCAAATATGCACATAGGTTAACCACAACTACCAACATCCTGGCTGAGCAAGATTTTCTCAGCATGTAACAGACTCTTTTGTCTTATACAAATCTTAAAATTAAGAATTATAGCCATAAACCTGTTTTAGTAGGTGTTCCTGATGAACCTGGACAGCCCTGTCACAGAGGTAAACACAGAAAAAGAGAAAGACGCATCTACACAGACCAACAATAGAATGCAAGGAAACAATTTTAGAGTACTAGCCAGGATGCTAAGTAATCATTTCAGCACACCAACTCTCTTATAGGTGCCAAATTATTATCCTACAGGCATTGTGGTGAAGAATTTGCGAAGTACTCAAGGAGGTTATTCAAGCAGTTTTGCAAGTCTTAGCAGGGAGATCCTTACAAGTGTAAGTGAAAAATGGAAAAAGAAGTAGAAAGATTCTCATTTAAAAATGTGATAAAGAATTATTAGACATGTATATGGGGAAAACAGAGGTTAAAGGACCACTGGCTGCAGAAAACTGTTCAAGTAAGTCTTGCCATACTGAAAAAGGCAAGAAATGTAAAGCAACATCAGAAGACCCTCCTCAGCACAGAACCACTAGATCTGTGTTCTTGAGGTTTTCCTTTTCCCTCCCTCCATATAATTCCTCACACAGACTCATGAAAGGTCCCTTTCATGCCCAGCTATGTGACCTTTGGAAAATAAACTGCGAAGAGGAATAAGTCAGAGACTAAAGCTGCTGGAATAACCACAAAAGAAAATTACAGTAGCAGCCAAGGGACACTGCAATTTTCACTCATGGCAGCCAAAGTGTGATGGGATTAGAGAATACCATTTATATAAACTGTTCCATCTAATCTAGCTCATTTTTATTGAAATGGCTTCAGGACAAACCATATGAGCACCTGAGCTAGCAGATCTGAGGGATGGTAACCATCACCGGGGTAGAAGTGACAAGTAGCTGTAGTTGGAAGAAGGCTTTTATCTATGCTTTAATTGTTAGCTCCCCAAAAAGCTGCACACAACATAGCTATATTCTAAGCTGACCCCAGGTGGTATAGTAATAAACAGGCTAAGTACTCATATATGCACATATATAATACTTTATGCATGCATATTAAATCTTTTGTTCATGAAGGAATGGAAAACACAAAAGTTTTAGGAGTGGAAATGGAGCAAGCTGTCCTCAGGATACCAGTTTTGTATGTGGCAGATTTGATATCAATTTATAACATCTATGTGCCATGACATCAGTTTCCAATTACCTGTGGAGCTGAAGGTTCCAGGTCCTTAATCAGGTTATAAGCCTCCTGCACATCATCTGAAATGCCAAACATCAGGATGCATGACAACCCATAGCACACTGTATTAGAACAAGTCAGTCATCCTCTACAACATTCCCCAATAGTCATAGACTAAGAAATAAACCATTTAGACAGGAGGAGGAAGGTAACTATAAATCATTGTGAATTTCTATCACAATGGTGACGGTTTTCTAGAACTTAAATAACAAACATGGAGTGAGTAATAGCTTCTTTATTATTACAGTTTTCCAAGTAAAGATGATTTGGCCCCCTTGTTCATAACCCAGTGGCTGCCTTTTCAACAGCACAAGGTCAAAATCGTAAATCCATCATCTTCCTTTATTTTCTTTTCTCATATTGATTTACCCCTCAAGGAGGATAGGGTAATATGATGCTGTAGGTAAACTTCAACTTTTCCTTATCAATATTTCAATATCTGTCCAGCAGCTCTTACCTGATCCTAATTCTAACAAGGAAAGCACTACTAGTATAGAAGTTTTAATGTGAAGTTTGAAATCAATAAGCAACTTCCTTCCCACGCAAGAATTATATAAACTGAAAAGATCCTAAATCTTACCTAAATAAAAAAAAAAAAAAAAGGATGTTGGTAGATCTATGCTTGGCTTTGTAAACCAATCTAGTGAAGATGCTCTCTTACTAGCAAAATTTTGTTAACACAGCATTATACCAGCTGCCCATAAAAACAGGCCTTATCAAACAAAACCTTTTTTGCTAGTATATACCATTCATTCAACCACTTTTTGGCTAACTCAGACCACCACCACCACAAAAAGTATGACAGCGGCCCTTCTTTTCATCAGTGGAGACCTTCAACACAGAACTATGCTCTTCAGGCTCCAAGAGAAGCCTCTAGCAAATCTCATGGGAGCAGATCATAAACAGATACCAACAGGCCCCAAACCTTGCTAAAAGTCACTACTCCGAAGAACTGATAAAAACAGGAGAAAAGTAACGGCTCTGAAAAATTCAGATATAATTCAAAGAATCTGACAAACAAAGGAGAGATACTAGTACAAAATCCTTTCCAACTGATTCTGGCTACCTACCTGCATTCCTTAAGGGTTGTAAAGTAGATTTTTAATGCAACGTCTTGTTCACAAACTGTAGCCTTGTTCACAGTCACTTTGGCTCATATCCTGTTTGTGCTATATTTACAGAAATAGTTGTCCTTGCCTTCAGAGGACATATGCCTACTATTCTCACACATTAGGCAGAGGAGAGGTCATCTCACTAGAAACAGTTAAACACCACTGTCCCCAAAGCCATCTCCTGCAACCCAAGAACCTGCAATATTTTGATAACATAGGTTTATTTGACTGCACACAACTGAAGCCCTTCTCTGCAAGCCATGGAAACTCTTACTTCACTATTTTCTGGAGAAAAAGAAAATTAAATACATTACATTTTCCTGCAAAGAAAAAAAGCATTTCATTGAATA